GGGTGAGGAGTCCTTGGTCAGCAGAGGGGGTGGGGGCGAAGGGCAAGGCATTGAGATGGAGAGTCAGGAGGAAAGGTTGGATGAGGCCAGTGCAGGAGCTGAAGAGGAAGGAGTGACAGAGCCCAGCAAGAACCAGCACTGAGAGCTTAGCCAGGCGGGGTGCCCTGAGTCTGGCAGGAGAGGGGTAGCCTGAAAGACAAGGGAACTGGAAGCAGAAGGGACCCAGGGATGGAGGAGAAAGGCGACATGTATTGAGGTGGGGAACAAGCAGAAAGATTTGGGAGAAAGGGCTGCTGCAGTAATTTCGAGGAACAGGTATAGGGAAGGAATAGAATGAGGGGGAGACAGGAGCAAGGGGGAACACAGGAGAGGACAAGGGAGAGAAACAAAGGAAAGAGAGGGACCTAAATGGACTGAGAAACAGAAGTGGAGGAAGAAGGGAACCCAGTTCTGGGAGAGGGGAAAACACAGATATTTACATTACAATTCATTAACAGTAGCAAAATTAGTTATGAAATAACAACAAAAATAATTTTATGGTTAACCTCACCACGACACGAGGAACTGTATTATAGAGTCTCGGCATTAGAAAGGTTGAGAACCACTGCTCTAAGGTTTTATTAGAGTGAATCTGCTATGTTTCAGGAATTTGTTTTCTATTTCTTTCGTAATAATTGTTTGTTAAACTATCAAATTTGGGAGTCATCTGTATTAATTTAATCATAGTTTCTTCCTCAAATTTCATAATGTGACTATTAAGTTTATAGATTTTAAACTTATGTGTCATAGTAAGTGCTTTTAGAATATAACCCTATATAAATCCAGCTTCAGAATTCTCACAATACAGTCAGACTCCCAGGAACAAAGATTAGAGGCAAAGGAGAGTGGAAATGGGAGTTGCTATTCAGGGATACAGATTTTGATTTATCAAAGATAAATAAGTTTTAGAGATCCATGGTATAACATTTTGCCTGCTGTAAACACTATTGTCTTGTGCACTTAAAATTTTATTGATTCTGGTTAGTGTTTCTCAGTGATTGAGCATCAACCTATGAACCAGAATGTCGCTGTTCGATTCATGATCAGAGCACATGCCCAGGTTGTGGGCTCAATCCCAAGTAAGGGGTGTCCAGGAGGCAGTGATTAATGATTCTCTCTCATCATTAATGTTTGTCTCTGAAATCAATAAAAATATATTTTCAAAAATTTTATTGACTGATCTCATGTTAAGTGTTCTTACTATAATAAAATATGAATAAGAACAATGATTAAAATGTGTTTAGGGTTCAGTTAGAGGAAGTGAACATGAATGTGATATAAACAAGCTCATGTCTTGACAGGCTTCTAGAATATGTTCGTTCACTTCATTTGTAAAAATACAGCTGTGATGGAACCACTTTTCTGCCCCTTGTCCCTTAGGGATTGAGGCTGCACTCATGTATAAACAGGGGATGAGGCATATTGTCCTGATAATCAACGTGTTCCACGTGAGGGGTGTTGGCAAAGAACTGGGGACTGAGGGTCATTTTGGAAGGATTCCGAGGACAGGATTTTCACAGAATCCTGTTGCCACCAACTTTTTTTCTTCTCCCCTGTTGCGTCTGCACAGTAGCTACAGGCCTAGCCAAACCCATTTCAGGACAACCCCATCTGTAGGGATCCACCGTGTAGCCTGCTCTCTAGAAGTTCCTACCTCAAACCCTCACACTACCCACCGGGCTCAGGTGTGTCGGGTCTAAATATCTCTAGCCCACTGCTACATAAGCAGGTCACCTGCACCAGGGCACTAAGCAAAGATGCTATTTCATGGCCCTCACTGCCCACCTACAGAATTATAACTTTTTAGAGTGGGATTTTGATTCCCAACGATTCTGTATGCACGTTGAAGCTGTAGATGAAATGCTTAGCTAGATGGTGCCCTTCCGTTAGACCAGTGGTCACCAACTGGTGGTTCGCGGACCACTGGTTGTCTGTGAGGTCCGCAAGGTTGGTGACCACTGCATTAGACCATCTGATGAATTGTAAGAACTAACATTTCTGTGCCCTCCCCCACAGAGTTGAACAACTGGTTTGCATTGTTAGTTTCCTGTGGTGCTCCAGGTGATTCAAAAGTGAGGCTGGTGTTCAGCAGGAGGTCTCGCTGGCCCAGTGCATTTGTGAGAGTTGAGAGCCGGCTTTGGTCCAGGGGCGGTATCCGGGTTTTCTTTTGGGTTTGGGAGGAACAGAAGTACAGCCTACATTCTCATTGCTGGGTTGGAAAGTGTGCATGTCTGTGGGATGGGAGAGCACAGGAATACAAGAGAGAAAAACTTACACTTCGGTCTTCATGTAGGATCTCACTTTTCCTTAATGTCTCTTATGTCAAAGGGCAGGGGAGTGTGACAGTTTTCATCATTTCATCAAGGTCTTTCTGCCTGTGAGTGTGGTGGCCACAAGGCATAGGTCTCAAGATGCAGGTGTGATTGGTCCACATAAAGTCGCCTGAGGAAACAATCCAGAGCAGGAGGAAGAAGAGGACAGTATGGCTGCTTCTCAGGTAAATGGCTCAGTTCTGTGTCTGCTTTTCCTTCTAAAGTTCATGTATTTAGATGGTGCAGACCTTTACTTCTCTATTTCTGATGATCCTGCAATACGAAGTTGTTTTCAACTGCTCACTTTTTTCCCTTGTGATTCTATAAGTTCTCTCTTTAAAATGTTACTGTCAGTTGGGGTGTTTTGGGTTCTCCAAGATAGAAATCAAGAGGAACCTCTAGAGATATATCTTGGGAAATTTTCTTAGGCTTATGCTCGAGTATAAGGGAGACAACACCGAAGAAGGAAGGTCCTCTGAGCTGACACATTGACATTAATGTTTATTTTATTTCAGGGTAATTTTATTGACGTGAAAATATTATTTTGTATTGTATTTATTGTGTATGTAGTTTCCATTTTTATGCCTTCCTTTTTGTAGAAAATGTTAACATTATTTGGGCTCTTTTTTCTTACCTTCTTGTTTCTATTCTTTTTCTTTTTCTTTTTTTTTTTTTAATATATTTTATTGATTTTTTACAGAGAGGAAGAGAGAGGGATAGAGAGTTAGAAACATGGAGAGAGAATCATTATCAGCTGCCTCTTGCACACCTCCTACTGGGGATGTGCCCACAACCAAGGTACATGCCCTTGACCGGAATCGAACCAGGGACCCTTCAGTCCGCAGGCCGACGCTCTATCCACTGAGCCAAACTGGTTCTGGCTATTCTTTGTTTTTGTTTTTTAAATATATTTTTATTGGTTTCAGAGAATAAGGGAGAGGGAAAGAGTGATAGAAACACCAATGATGAGAGAGAATCATTGATCAGCTGCCTCCTTCACACACCCTACTGGAGATTGAGCCCTCACCTCGGGCATGTTCACTGATCGGAATCAAACCTGGGACCCTTTAGTCCACAGGCCAACGTTCTATCCACTGAGCCAAACCAGGGCATTGTTTCTGTTCTTTACAGTTATAACAACTGTGAACATTCATGAGGTTGTGTCTGTGTCTGTATTCTTTTTGACAGATTCCAGATAAAGTTTGGAATAACACCCAGCCTCTACCATTTTAAGGATGTTTTACAAAATATTCTCATAAAAAAGGATGAATAGCCCTGGCTCAGTTGTTTGAACGTTGATCCATGCACTGAAAAGTCACTGATTCAATTCCCAGTTATGGCACCTGCCGGGTTGAGGGCTCAATCCTTGGAGCGGACGTGCAGGAGTTAGTTTATTGATGTTTCTCTCTCATTGACATTTTTGTCTGTCTCCTTCCCCCTTTCTCTCTTTCTAAAGTTAACAAATACATTTAAAAAAAGAGGACATTAATGTTATTCTTTGATTGCTTTTGTGATTTATTAGTTAATATATAAAAAACTGTTAAAACCATTATGGTTGCTAGGCTTACTAATCTGTGAGACATGTAAATTCCCTAAAACTGTTCAGGAAAAGTCTTGTATATGAATTTTTTCCCTCTGTTTTCTTCTGTGCTATCTAAAGGTTTGGCACATGTACCAGCACAGTGGCTTCCATGTTATAAGTGAGCTAGTTAAACTCATGGAAGCTCAGGCCCCAGCCAGAGCTCATTACATTTTTGAAAGTACTATACTGTGCTCACTCAGAATGACTTCTCCAGCTAAGAAATATATACACTTAATCCTCTGTGATTCAAACAAAGCATTAAAAATGAATATGTCTATGTCGGTGTCTACTTTTAAAATTCTTCTTCCAGAAAAGTAAAACTTTTACTGTGGTTTTATGGATCATATGCCGTCTTTTCTCAAACTACATTAGCAAATATTAGTGCCAAAGTGATGCCATTGGATAACTCAGGATACTTTCCTAGATCAAATCCAGCTGTATTAAAGAAGCACACACACGCACAGAAAACAAAGCAAACCAGTTCCATTAACTCTGTTTTCATTTTGGGTGACATTATGACCTCTGCCCATGGCCAATAGAGTAATGCTTTTTCCCCCCCTTTTAATTTCAGGGACAGCTGACCTTCAGTGATGTGGCCATAGAATTCTCTCAGGAGGAGTGGGCGTGCCTAGACTCAGCTCAGCAGAAACTGTACATGGATGTGATGTTGCAGAACTACAGGAACCTGGTATTTTTGGGTGAGACCACTTTCAAGATTTTGTACTCCACCCATAGGGTTTTGTTTTCTTCATTAGTACAGTGTCTGCTTAGTGCCCCTGCTTTTTATGATAGAATTTCAGACCCGTGTTCTTAAGGAAAGAAATAGGGGTTTTACTGGTGCAGAACAGAAAGGCTTTCTGATTTATTTGGAAGTGGAACTCAGGATCTGAAAACTTTAAATGTTGTCTCTAGTATAGTAAAGGTGCTGTCAGAAAATACTATTTTGGGAAATAATTTTTTAGAATATTCTGACATTCTACAATGTCCTATTTTCTCATTTGAGCACAGTACTGTGTTGTAAATCGGAGAATCTCCATTGTACGCATGTTTCCTTTTCTAATAAACAGGTGTGTCTAAGCCAGACCTGGTCACCTTTTTGGAGCACATGAAAGAGCCCTGGGAGTTGAAGAGGAAAAAGACAATATCCAGCCAGCCAGGTTGGTGGAATCAAGGAAGCAGATGACCCAAGTGAGAGTCCAAGCTTATGGAGGAAGTCAGGCACTATAATATAGGTTGGAAAGATCTGCTGCAATAGAAGTGATTTTGGAGAGGGTCAGGTTTATTTCTGTTTCTGTCTTCAAGAGACAGAGCCTCTTCAACACTCACACTCTGGCATCATGTAAGGATTTTCCTGGTGCTCCTATGATCTTCCTTCATATTTGCAGTGAGAGCCAAAGACCTGCCCTAATAGTGTGAGGGTAGCATGACCTGGCTTCTCCTGAGCATTTCTTGTGGAACCTGGGAAAGTCTGTGCTCATTAGCAAGGAATGTTATATTAAACTAATTTTAAAGTTCTGTTTTCTGCCTCTTGTAAGTAATTTGGGAGGGAGGTGGTTGAGATGCTAGAATTTGGTTCCTACATCCCAGGAACACTGGAAGTCAGGGTCCAAGTTGTCTTATCCTTCCTTTTGTTTGATGAAATTTTTTTCCTGATATTTCCATTACACATTTCAATTCAGATACTAGCTTCATACTATATTCTTCAGCTCCCAATATCTGTTTGGTTATTTTTTATATTTTTTGTCTGTTTGCATTTTGATTATTGTCATGCATAGTTTTGATGGTAGAATTTTTTTTGAAAAATTTTTTTGCTATATTTTCCAGTTGAGCCTCTTTAAAATGTGTTTTTTTTCCATAGCTTTGTCAGGTAATTAACAGATGTTCATTAACTTAGGGCCAATTTATGGAGATTTATGTTGTTCCTCTGGTTGGATTTTTGTTGTTTTTTGTTTCTTTCTAAACCTTGTGATCTTTTGTTGTTATTCAAGGTCATTAGAAACAGCTGCCATCCCATTTTTTTTTTTTTTTTTATGAACTTGCTTTGTACGGGAGAAAACAAATAACTATCAGTTGTAGTAGATTGTTTATGGCCTATCAAACCTATTCTGGAAAGTGTAATCTGTGTGTGTGTGTGTTTAACTCATTTTTTAATATTTCAATTGTAGTTGCCAATATATTATATTCATTTCAGATGTACACTCCAATAATTAGATATTACATAGTTTTCATGCTGGGGCCACTTAGCCAGAGGTATGGGGTACACTGGAGCCAGATCCGCTTGTTTGAGACATTGTTGTAAAGACTGAAGCATAAGCCAATTAAGGCTGTTTGTATGAAAAAGCCACTGGAAACAGCTTTGGTGGTCCCAGATGTTGTTGGGGTGGGTGTCAGAAAATCTTCAGGGTGGGTTTAAAAGTGTGAGCTAGGTTGATGGAGACGTAGCTGTGGCTCTTGTTTGCCAGCTGTATGGGTGAATGGCTCAGAAAAGGTGCAATGGCTTCTACCAAGACTTATGCCTGGGAGAAAGCTCCTTCTATAGCTCTTGTCTTTATGCCAGACACTTCAGTTCCAACCTATCTATCCCTGGTGCCATTCGAGCTGCTGCCACAGTGCTGGAGCTCACAAGGCATGAATATGAATAAATCAGAGCATGAATCTTTAAGAGGAACTGCCTAGGACTCCATCAGTTCTCCGTCTCACTCAGCCACAATCCCTGCCCATTTTTACAGTCATAATAATGGGGACATCTCTCCTTTGCATTGGAACTAGCTGGCAGGTCTTTTGTGGGGGTGGGACCCTTCACTCCTCAGGTGTGACCCCTGCAACTGATGATTTTTGTTTGTTTGTTTTTTAAAAACATATATTTACTTATTTCAGAGAGGAAGGGAGAAGGAAAGAGACAGATAGAAACTTATCGCTTGTGATTTTTAATCCACCACGTGGGCCCAGTCCATTCACCTCCTACCAACCTGGATAAGCCTTTTTCTTTATGTCCTTACGTGTAGAACTTCATTCAGCTAGGTTTCAGGCAGTTTTGAATGATGGCTTTCCTGTAGTTTAGTTGTATTTTTTATGTGGTTGTGGGAGGTTGCCAGTGCTACAGTTACCTATACCAGCATCTTGACAGATCTCTCTGTGTGTCTGTTTTGTGTAACTTCCCCGTTTAAAACATATTTTGCTTTTATTTAGAGCTCATGGTATCTTCCCATTCCTGATGTCCTTCAGCATTGCAGTTTGTCTGGTGCTGGAACAATTACTAACTTTTCTATTTAGTAGCCACCACAATGCATGCTCAGTATATTGCATTTATATAGAATTCAATGTTATTCAAAAGTGAAAAAGTCCCTCAGACAGTTACAAAAAATCCAGACAATTGGAAACCCAGTACCCTCATTTATTTCTCTTCTGAGAGAAACTGAGAATTGGGAGTTATCCCACACATATTTTGTAGTATGTCAGAAAGGTGAGCACGTGCTGTGGGCAAATGTAGGTAATGTTTTTCCCTCTTTGATATGACATTTTTATTTTATGCTTTCTGGGAGGTGTTGTGGTCTTTGAACTGGCTTCTTAAGTACTTAAAAAGGTAATTGGGTCAGTAATTGTTGGTAAGTTAACATCTCCATGGAGGAAAAGTTTTGTGTTTCCTATTCTTCAATCTCACCGAAGTCTTCTTACATGTATTAATTCTATACATTAAAATTTAAAGAATATTTACCTGAGTATATTTTATAATTAGTTTGTTATATTTCAGCTATGTCTTCTCAAGTTACCCAGGGTTTGTTGCCAAAGTCAGGTGTAGAAGTGTCATTCCAGAAAACGTTACAGGTAAGATATCATTGATGTGGCATTGAGAATTTACACTGAATGAAAGTTTTGTAATGTGCAGGGGAATATGAGAAGAAAAAAAGCTTGTTAGTCGTGATGGATATGGCCAAAGTGGGGCAGTTAATAAAATCATTGTTGCCTCAAGAGCTTAAGGATTTAAACATTTTGAATATTTCTACTTGATATCAGTTACATTGACAGAACAATGTGTTTCTGAACCTAAAGGCTAAAGAAATGTTTTTAAAAGTACATATTCTCTGCTCTGGCTGCTGTGGCTCAGTTGGTTGCAGTGTCACCAAGGATTCTGAAATGTTGTGGGTTCTATTCTGGTCAGGACACATGTAGGTTTAGGGTTCAATCACTGGTCCGGGTGCAGGCAAGAGGCAATATTTCTCTCTCACATCAATTTTTCTTTCTCTTTCTTTTTCTCTCCCTCCCTTTCTTTCTTTCTAAAAATCAATAAACATGTCCTCATGTGAGAATTAAAATAAAAAAATGAATACATATTCCCTGAAGTAAAATTTGTAATATCAGAGAAGTCACCTAGTGCATTGTGCAAATACTTTTTTGAATGATTTAATGTAGCATATGATTAAACAATCAATATTTCTAAAAATGAAATATTTTAAAAATGAAGATAAAAATTATAAATGAATTTGTAAATCCCTTAATCAATTTTGTATTATTCTTTCATGTGAAAATATTTATTTTTCCAGAGTCTTTAATTTCCATAAATGTGCAAGAATATATCCTATCTAATAAAAGCGTAATATGCAGATTGACCATCACTCCAACACACAATATCGCTGCCCCCATATGGTCGAATATTCTGCCCCCATGTGGACACAAGATGGCCACTACAAGATGGCCAGCAGGGGAGGGCAGTTGGGAGGGATCAGGACTGCAATGGAGGGCAGTTGTGGGCAATCAGGCAAGCAGGAGAGGGTAGTTGGGAGGGACCAGGCCTGCAAGGGAGGTCATTTGGGGGCCATCAAGCCTACAGGGGAGGGCAGTTAGAGGTGACCAGCCTGGCAGAGGGCGGAAGTTGGGGGTGACTGGGCCTGCAGGGAAGGGCAGTTGGGCGGGACCCAGGCCTGCAGGGGAGAGCAGTTGTGGGGGACCAGGCCTGTAGGGGAGGGCAGTTAGGGGCAAACAGGCTGGTAGGGAGTACTTAGGCATCAATCAGGCTGGCAGCAGAGTGATTAGGGGATGATCAGGCTGACAGGCAGAAGCGGTTAGGGGCAGTCAGGAAGGTAGGCAGACAGTTGGGAGCCAGCAGACCTGGATTGTGAGAGGGATGTTCGACTGCCTGTTTAGGTCTGATCCCACCAGGGATCCCAGATTGGAAAGGGTGCAGGCTGGGCTGAGGGACAGCCCCTCCCACCCCCCGTGCACAAATTTCATGCACCGGGCCTCTAATACACACACACACACACACACACACACACACACACACACACACACACACACACTAGGGACCTGTTGCAGGAATATTCCTACAAGACTTCTGGTGGGTTTCCCTCCTGCCACCACCACCTCTCCTGCTGCAGCGGGTAGGGCAGGTCAGGATGGGGCAGGCCCCCGGCCACTGCTGCCATTGTCTCCACGGCTGCGTGTGCTGCCACCACTGCTGTGCGCCTCGCCTCGCTCTGCCCCATCCCCCACATGCTGCCATTGCTTTCCCTTCAGCAGCCGCAGAGCTGCCTTGCTTTCCACTTTCCCTCCCTCTTCCTTCTATACTGTCTTCAGTCTTCACTCCTCCCTCCTCCCTCTGTGTATGCAAATTAACTGCCATCTTTGTTGGGTTAATTTGCATACTTGCTCTGATTGGCTGCTGGGCATGACTTGTGGGTGTAGAGGAGTGATGGTTAATTTGCATATTACTCTATTATTAGGTGGGATATATATATTTATTTATTATGGTATCAGAATAGGTAATTGGAAACAACTGTACATGTGCAATGATACTAGAGCCCTCACTAAAAGTTTTTCACTTTTAAATCATTATCAGAGTACATATAATGAAGAGAGAAGTCATCAATGCAATGAATCTCGGAAAAACATTAACCAAGGGTCAAATTCTAATGACCATCAGAGAACTCAGCTTTCAAAGAACAATGATAAATGTCTGAAAGTCTTTGATAAAAACACAAATATTTTTATACCTCAGAGTATTAATACTGTAGAGAAGACAGAAAGATTTAGTGAATGTGCCAAGTCTTTCAACCAATCATCAAATCTTATTGAACATAAAAATACTCATATTATGGAGGAGTCTTTCCTGTGTAATCACTATGGGAAAATGTTTAGTCAGTCCTCTAAGTTAAATATACATAAAGAAATCCATACTGCAGAGAAGCCTTACAAATACAAAGAATGTGAGAAAGCCTTTAAGTGGCAGGCACATATTGTTTTACATCAGAGAAATCATGCTGGAGAGAAGCCTTATAAATGTAGAGAATGTCACAAAGCCTTCAACTGTTACTCAAGCCTTATTCGACATCAGATAATTCATCACGGAGAGAAACCTTATAAATGTAAAGAATGTGGGAAAGCCTTTAACAAGTGTGCAGGCCTCACAAAACATCAGAGAGTTCATTCTGGAGAGAAGCCTTATAAATGTGGAGAATGTGACAAAGCATTTAGCCAGTATTCAGCCCTTATCCATCATCAGAGAATTCATACTGGAGAGAAGCCTTATGAATGTAGAGAATGTGGGAAAGCCTTTAACCGGAGTTCAAATCTTACAAAACATCAGAGAACCCATTCTGGAGAGAAGCCTTATAAATGTAGAGAATGTGGCAAAGCCTTTACCTCGAGCTCAAATCTTACTCAACATAAGAAAATTCATTCTGGAGAGAAGCCTTATAAATGTAAGGAATGTGGCAAAGCCTTTACCCAGTGCTCACATCTTACTCAACATCAGACAATACATACTGGAGTGAAGCCTTATAAATGTAGAGAATGTGGGAAAGCCTTTAGGTGGTGTTCAACCCTTACCCATCACCAGAGAATTCATACAGAAATGAAGCCTTATAAATGTAGAGAATGTGGGAAAGCCTTTAAAAGTTATTCAGGCTTTACTCGACATAAAAGAATCTATCTTGGAGGGAAGCCTTGTAAATGTAAAGAATGTGGCAAAGCCTTTAAGAAGTGTTCATGCCTTGTGAAACATCATACAATCCACAATGGAGAAAAACCTAATCAGTGTAGAGAATGTGGCAAAGTCTGTAGCCGGTATTCAGCACTTACCCATCATCAGCAAATGCATACAGGAGAGAAGCCTTATAAATGCAGAGAATGTGGCAAAGCGTTTATCCAGAGCTCACGTCTTTCTCGACATCAGATCATTCATTCTGGAGAGAAGCCTTACAAATGTACTGAATGTGGCAAAGCTTTTATCCAGAGCTCACATCTTACTCGACATGAGATCATTCATTCCGGAGAGAAGCCTTACAAATGTAAAGACTGTGGCAAAGCTTTTATCCAGAGCTCACATCTAACTCGGCATCAGATCATTCATTCTGGGAAGAAGCCCTATAAATGCAAAGAATGTGGCAAAACTTTTATCCAGAGCTCACATCTTACTCGACATCAGATCATTCATTCTGGAGAGAAGCCTTATAAATGTCGAGAATGTGGCAAAGCTTTCAGTCAGTGTTCAAACCTTACCGATCATCAGAGAATTCATACTGGAGAGAAGCCTTATAAATGTAGAGAATGTGGCAAAAGCTTTATGCGGAACTCGAATCTTACTCAGCATCAAAGGATTCATTCTGGAGAGAAGCCCTATACATGTGGAGAATGTGGGAAAGCCTTTACCCAAGGCTCACAGCTTACTAAACATCAGAAAATTCACTCTGGAGAGAAGCCCTATAAATGCGGAGAATGTGGCAAAGCCTTTACCCACGGGTCACTTCTTACTCAACATCAGAATATTCATTCTGGAGAGAAACCTTATACATGTAGAGAATGTGGCAAAGCTTTTAGATGGTACTCAGCTCTTTCTAAACATCAGAGAACTCATATAGAACAGAAACCCTTATAAATGTAGAGAATGTCACAAAGCCTATACATCATGTTCAAATTTTTCTATCCGTTGGAGGAGTTATACTAGAGAAAAGGCTTATGAACATTAAGAATGTAGCAAGGCCCGTATACACTGATCAGACCTTACCAAATATATGAACATGTATCCCTGAGATAAGCTTTACAAATGTGAAGAGTGTGACAAAGCCTGGCAGTGTGACTTAGTGGTTGAGCATGGACCTATGAACCAGGAGCTCCAGGCTTGATCCCCATTAGGAGTCATGCAGAAGGCAGCCAATCAGTAATTCTCATCATTGATGTTTCTATCTCTTCCTTCTTTTCCTCGGTCCCTAACATTAATAGGAACATTTATTTCTTTTAAAAAGTGTGACAGAGCCTTTAACCTCACAATAGCTTTACTCAATACTAAGGAATTCGTAGTGAATAGAAGCAACATAAATATAAAGAATATGGGGAAACCTCCAACCATTGCCCAAACCTCACTAAATATTAAAGAATTTGTACCAAAGAAAAGTCTTATAAATGTAGAGATTGTGATAATGCCTTTACCCAGTGTTGAAAACTTAGTTAATATCACATACTTTGTTGAAAGTAAAAAATATAAACAAGGTGGTGAAACCTTTAATCATTGCTCAAGCCTCAGTATACTTTAGAGATCTCATAGTGCAGAGAAGCCATGCAAATATAAAAAGTTCAGCAAAGACTGTTTTCTGCATTTACATCGTAACTGACACATGAGTGTTCATACTGGAGAAAAACTTAAAATGTTAAAGAATATGCAAACCCTTTATCTGGACCTAAAGTCTGGACTTAAAGTCTTCCTCAATATCAGAGAATGCATACTGGAGAAAAATTCTACCTTTGTGAAAAATGTTGAAAAACCTGTTTCTAAAATCATGTTTCCCACAGAATTTGTGCTGGAAAGTGAATTTAATAAAAATTAAATGTAAAATGCCAGAGAATTCACAGTAGAAAGTAATAAGTTAATACATTTTTCAAATATGACTTTAAATCAGAATATTTATTTTAGAGAATCCATTAAGGAAAGCTACAGGACTTTATAGTATAAATCAAAATGCCAAGGAGATGAATTTTAGGAAAATGTAATTGCCTCTACTGCATCCTTTTTTATTACAATAGATATTTGTGACTTTTTGAAAGAAAAGTATTGCTGTGGTTTATATCTAAATTCATTTCATGATTCTTTGAATGCTTATAATGTGTATTTTCACCAGTGGCAAAAACTGTATTTGCAATGCTTACCCCCTCCCTCCCAATGCTTTGTTTAGAGTATGTGTGCACTTAATATGTTCATTTATAAACTTAAACACTCAAATACTATTCCATATTCTTTATATTGTTTTAGGACATACTCTTTAATGTAGCAAAGACTTTGAATTTCTCTACTGTAAGTATTAAGAAAATTTAGATTATATATGTATTTGCATAATAAATGATATTCAATTCACAGGCTTTTTAACTTTTTTTATTTTATTATTATTGGGGCAAAAGTTCATTGTGTCTTGGTCTCACCACTGAGCTATGAAATGATGGTCTTAACTAGTGCTCAGGTTCCTGAGGGACGTATAAATAAATACCTGAATGTTGTGAAAATCTAGGATTTACATTTTTGTGATAATTGCAGGGGCATTTTGTATTGTTTATCTGTGCAAAGCAGGGCCTGACAGTTGGGAAACAGCTGTGAATATTAGAGATGTTCACTAGTCACCAACTGGGATTATTGAAAACGGCTGAACAAATATGAAAGACAGAAGAGAGGGTGAAAAAGACACAGATACACCAGGAAAGGGATGCTCTGATATGAGAGGCATCTGAGGGAAACATGAGCCTGATGAGTGTATTGAACTCACTGCTTGTGCCTGTACAACATGAAAACCAAGAAGCTGCAGGCCCAGAGTGTGGGCCCTAAAAATAAAATATTAGTAAAAGTCATGTTCTTAGTCACTTGCCTCCTCCTTTCTTTTTACTTCTACAGACATTTTTATTAGTGTAACTAGAGGCCTGGCATATGAAATTCGTGCGGGGAAGGGGGTCCCCTCATCCCAACCTGCACCCTCTCCAATCTGGGACCCCTGAGGCAGTCGGCTATTCCTTTCACATTCTGGGACTGCTGGCTCCCAACTGCTTGCCTGTCTTCCTGATTGCCCTAACCGCTTTTGCCTGCCAGCCTGATCACCCCCTAATCACTTCCCTGTCAGCCTGATTGATGCCTAACTGTTCCCCTGCCGCCCCGATTGTCCCCAACTGCCCTCCCCTGACAGCTCTGTCACCCCCAAATACCCTCCCCTACATATTCCTTCTATTAACATATTGGACAGTGTACCTGCCATGGTCTTGACAAACCAGTAAAAGTGTAAGCCCAAACTGAAAGTGTCATAAAATAAACTCCTTAAACAGGAATTTTATGAGACCTTGGAAAGGTGATATCAAGTGGCTGTTTCTTCCTTTCTTCCTTCTCTTTCTTTTTCTTGATGTTTCATCTTTTGTCCGTCCTTTCTTTCTTTTCTTCTTTTATTCCTTTTCTATCCTCTCTTTCTCTTAACTTTTTCATTGCTAGAATCCTCAGTACTTGAATCTGTCTCACTTCCAGAAGACAAAGATGAGGAAAACACACTGTCATCTGAAGAAAAAGATGATCTATGTTGGGATCGGTGGTGGTTCTGGTTTTGCTCTTTTCCCAGTTTGTGATTTCTCCAGGTCCCGGCAACTTCAGGACTTGTGCATGGGCACTTCTTATTCATGTCTACAAAACCTCCTTGCCTTGGTGAAAACTAGGGGAAAGACCGTCCTGGGTGGGCTCAAGCTCAGTCCAAGGTGCGGAGCACCCGCCACTGCCCTTGCAGAGCCAATCTCCAGATCTCAGTGTACTCTCCATGAATGTAACTGCAATGTCCCCATTTGCCTTCAGAAATTAGTTTTAAGTTACTTCTGATGTGAAACCCTACCTCAGACATTTCCTTTGCGGTTTCTAAAGATTTTAAACAAAACCCATTTACCTCCCTAACCTGGTCAGAAGTTTCTACCCAGTGGGAGAGGTTTGCTGGGCAGGATCAACCAGATACCCCTCCCCACCATCTCCAATCACTTGGCGGGGCGGGGGGGGGGGATGGGAAGTTCTGGGGGTATAGGTGTGTGTGTGAGGCTACTTCATGGGGGTGCAGGCCCTTTTGAGTAACACCCCAGGCTGCCACTGGGAGGGGATTGCTCCGGGGGTCATGGCTGCCTCCTAGGCCTACACTCTCCTCTCCCCCCCTCTGGCTGTGCTGGGAGCAGATCATGCCAGGGAGGCACAACTACCTCCCAGGCCCACAGCCCTGGCTGTGGCTGGAAGTGGAACGTGCTGAGAGGGGCACAGTTGCCTCCTAGCTGGGAGGCCTACGGCCAGGCTATGGCTGATAGCGAATTGCACCAGGGGACACGGCCACCTCCCAGGCCCATGGCCCAGGCCGGGGCTGGAAGTGGATCAGGGGGGATGGGGCCTCCCAGGCCAATTTTCCAGGGCTGCAGCCAGGAGCAGATCGTGCGGGGAAGGGGGGGAGGTGCATGGGCCGAGGCTAGTAGTGGATTGTACCAAGGGGCGTGGCTGCCTCTCGGGCCTACAGCCTGGGCCACCCACAGCGGGCTCTCATCGGTAGTCCTCCCTGGGACTGGGAGTATCCTGTGCACCTGAGAGGATTGGGTGCCGCCATCTTGTGTCTATGGGCACTACCATTTTTGTTGCGGAGTGATGGTTAATTTGCATATTACTCTTTTATGAGATAGGATAAAGGACTGTCTTTTTCTCCCTTAAAAGGTTAAAAGAGATTATATTTCAAAGAAGTAGAAATGGCTTAACATGTTTAAAGAACTCATCCAAATCAATTTTAGAAGATAGGTGGATTTCACTTGTCTGTTTTTGGACCTGCCTGTGCCTTTAATAATCAGTCTTATATGGCTTGGTTTTGTGTCCCTGGAAGTCTGTGAGGAGACTTGCTGCTTTGTCCTGAAAGGTTAAAAAATATAAATATGAATATGAATATGAATATAAATATAAATATAAATATAAATATATATCAGGGGAGGTGAAGCCTGGTTTCTTTATGTTCCCGGTTCTGGTTTGGGTGGAGGCAGGGCATCAAGGTCCAGACATCCCTGAGTCTCTGTGAGCAAAGGCCATCCATCCCTGCCTCAGTCTTAGTATCAGAGATAAGCAACATCAGGAGGGTGTGGGAAGGAGCATGTTCTGGTGGAGGTGGGTTTCACAGAGTGAAGGGCAGGGGCCTTGGATAATTTGCAGGTTTGTGCAGCTTCTTCTCCCTTCCTAAGCCCATCAGAGAGGGAAGAAGTCAATATATTCTATGACAGAGAAGAGTTATAAGGAAAGTCATTCATTCATTCATGGAAGCAAAAAGACCGTCCAATTCATTCCTGTATTAATTCCACAAATATTTACTGAGCACATGCTAAGTGGCAGGCGGCTCTGTTTGGCCTGGTTTCATGGCACAGATAGGAAATGAAGCCCCTGCTCACCAGACCCCAACACCTCCTTCTGAGATCTGAACTCTCTTCCATTCCCACCTTCATCTTCACCACTAGTCTCTCAGAGGTGTTCTAGTAGCTGACTTGGGGAATACTTTCTTATTCATTGCAAAGATATATCACTTGAAAACTGAAATATATAACATTTTTTTGGGAACTATTTGCAGTTTTGGTCTTGAAACTTTGATCTCCATCCCACCTTGGATCACATATAAATTAATTGGAAAACCTTGAAACTCCAGGGCACCACACAGTATGTAAGAGATGGAAGCTTCTGAGAAAAGATCATTTGGAACCTTCTCGTGAGGCTAAGTCAGGCGGTGGTGACCATGTGACCATGTGGGCACACCCTGAACTCCTCTTGCCAGCCCAGGAGGTTGGCCCTGACATTCCTCCCTCAAAACTTAGGGCTGTCTCCAACTCACCTGCTACAGGGTCCTCCACCTGTGGATGTAGGTAACCGTGAAACTCATCATGAGCAGCACCTTGAAGCCAAGGAGGAAAGTCACAAAGATAACAGCAGATGTCCCTGGACCTACATGGGCAGAAGGAGACATCAACTGGGGCTCTGTGTCTTTAAATACTTTGACCTCTCAGGAGAGAGGCAACACAGCTTTTCCCAGGAGCGGATGGGGGTGACTAGGATGCACCCCTAATGAACTTGTAGATGGCTGGGGCTGCTGGGGACAGGATGAGGTTGGCCAGATGGGAGGATGTGCTTCATGCTGCACCAAACAGGTGAGCACCTGCTCAACCCCTGCAGGGATACTTTCACCAACTGCAAGCTTTCCAGGCTCATGCTCAGCTCCCTGAAACATGGCAATGCTCCAGCCAGGTGGATGCACACCTTATAGTTAGAATCTCTGCACATGGCAGGCAATGACCACCAAGTCCAAGGATGGCGAAGACTGAGGCACTGTCACTGCAGTTGGAACTGACACTCCCAGAGACAGCAGACAATCCCTGTGGGAAGTCCACTGTGGTAGCCTGGGAACTCCTTGAGGATGCTTCATCTTCCCTGGGCCAATCACAGAGGAGGATTTAGATAGTGGTTAACAGATGCCTGCATAGGTAAATGCATGACGAATGAGAGTGTGAAGGCATGCATGGGTGGACAGATGGATGCATGGATGGAAGAATGAATGGGAACAAAGTCATTTATTTTCCAATTTTGAATTCTGTTCACAGACTATGCCATGGATCTAATTTGAGGACATTGTGCTAAATGACATAGGTTAGTCACAAAATGACAAATACTGTATGCTATGTATTTGAGGTATCAGAGGAGTCATCCTCAGGGAGACTTCCCCCAGAGAATCCAGAAGAGACACAGCCTGCCCATTGCAGTGTAGACTTCTGACCTCTAGAACTGTAAGGTAACAAACTTTTCTAGTGTTAAACCACTAAACATGTGGTTACAGTGGCGATAGGCATCTATAGTGCAAGGACAGGGGAACATTTATAAAGGACAGATGTAACTAAAGGGACAGGCCTCACTTAAAGTACATAACTCTGGGGTAGGGAAGGCAAAACAAAGAATCAAGGAAACAAACAAAGAAAAAACTGTTCTATTTTACAATTGAGTAGCAAAGAGAAATAAGAAAAAGGGAGGGAAAATTTAGGGTCTAGAAAGACAAAGAGAATCAAAGAACGTGAGGAATCATAACTATTCTTCCACTTTCAAAATCAGTCAATAATCCCAAAGCTCTGTCCACATTCATGGATTATGCTAAACTGACAAGAAGAGGTCAGTTAACCTAGAAATAGTGTAAAATACATCAGTATCATAAGAATGACCAAAATGACCTGCATCTTTACAACAAGTGCATTGGGCCAGGCCTGCAGTGGCCAGAGACTCAGTAGCCAAGGTAGGATGTGGCATTTCGGTGCAGAGGGTGATGGGGCCTCTTTCACTTTGCTCCAGCCCCCTAACCTAGACAAGCCGAAGAACCATTGCCAGCCTTAGCACTAGCAGGTGTGCTGGGTCAGGCACGCTGAGAGCACCTGGAGGAAACGGCCCTGATCTGAGGCTCAGGCAGAGATGGAGACTCAAACCCATGGCCAAGGTGGTCCAGAGAAGATGGAGACTCCTCTGTCCTGCTCTCCCTGTTTAGTACAACTCTGACCCCTAGAAATACCACCAGGAAAAGCAGGAGGGCGAGGACTCTAACAGGTGGAAGAGGAAGGCACCCGGGCTCAGGACCTGAGGCTGCAGGAAGAACACAGGAGCTGGAAATCATAGTTGACCCTCTCCTAGCTTCCTAGGCACAGAGGCGACTCGGGTATGGCTTAGAAAAAGAAAAGTCTAAAACCAGTAATCTAAGTTCCCCTCCTCGATAAATGAGATAAGGGGAGTAAAATCAACCCAAAACAGAAGGAAAAAAAATTGTAACATAAAGAGGAGAAAAAAGGAAATGAAATGGAAAACAGAGAAATAATAGACAAACTCCTTGAAACAAAGACCAATGCAATTGATAAACTTTTATCAGGACCTATAAAGAAAAAGGTGAAATAGCGTATTTCCAAGATCAGAAATAGGACAGAGGCTATTGCTATTGACCCCACAGACCTCAGAAGAAGGACATATTATGATCACTTCCTCAGGCAGATGTTTACGATTATTGCTGGTTCCTTGTTACAAGTATGATGAAAAAGGAGGCCTGTGTTGTGACTGCTCACAGTCACGTGGGTGCCCTGCATAGATTCAAAGTCCATGTCCTCAGGGCTCCCCTTGTGGAACTTCACAGAATAGCAGGACCAGGCACTGGCTGGGGTGAACTTACTGATGTGGATGGAAAAGTCCAGGATGGAACAGACACACAGGGAGGTTAGAAAGAGCCAGGAAGAGGCAGAGGCTGTCATGGCTGGTGAATGCAGTGACTGTCAGGTGAACAAAGCAAGAGAGAGACACTGTGACCAGGGCGGTCTCCCTGGCTTGCTTCTCGTTCTTTCTTTGTTTATTGATGTGAAAAAATCTATAAGTATCTACCAAACTCTTACCAGTGGGGTTTGAGGGAGGGAGCTCACTTCCAAATCTTACTTTCTATTGATACACTTCTAGATTATTCTATAATAAGCATAAATTAGTACTTATAGCATTAAAATTAAGATAAAATTTAAATAGAGCCGGGTCAGTTAAATAGAGTGGGGCCTCACCAGCGGGTACATCTGGGTCCTTCTGGGGCGCCGGGGCCTCCACAGTGACGATTTTGGAGACGGCCGGCTGCCCATCGTGCTCCACCTGGCAGGTGAGCTTCGCACCCTCCCTGTGGGCAGACTGGTTCACCAGGAGCCAACTCCTCCTGGTGAAGGTCCCGTCCTGGTTCTCTACGAGGCTCAAGGCCGTTTCTGTTCGGGACGTGTTTCCGTTCTCCAGCCAGGTCAGCTGCAGGCGCTGGGGGTAGAAGTTCCTCACCAGGCAGGTGATGATGTTCTCCTGGTTCCCTGGCATGAGTTGCTGGGTGGCCTCCAAGGTGGGTGGCACTGAAATAGCAAAGCGCAGAAGCTCTGGCAGATCAGAGAGGGGGCTCCAGAATTTAGCTCCCCCACTCAGCAGAGGACAGGCTCAGGCACAGAATGTTTTTTCATGTGAATGAAACCCCTGCGCACCTTAACCCGGACCCAGAAGATGCTCGAGGCCTGGCAGCCGCTATTAGGGCCATATGATTGGAATCAACCACCACAGCCCCTGGCATGCAGTCAGAACACACTAACTTCAGCAAAGTAAATGAAATTACCAAGCACATAAAAGCTTGGCTTATAGTAGGCGCTCAGTAAGTGGAGTTGCTATTGGTAAAGTAGATAAAACTATGAAGCATGGGTTGGCATATTGTTGATTTTTTCTTCTCCTTCATGGGATAGATTTTTCACCTGCCAGCTGCCAGTAGACCAGGGTGAGTGATGGGCAAATCCATGTGAATGATAATGGGAAGGATTGTCGGGAATTAGATTCCAGGCAATGCCAGGCTTGGAGCACAGTGCAGGGGGAGAAGCAGGCTTGGGGAAAGTGGCCGGGGGCCAGGTGTGGGCTTGGGCTGGGTGTGAGGGCATCTACCTCGGAGGGCCTCAGAGAGGTTGGCAGTCCCGCGAAGAGGCAGGTCCCCCCGTAGAGTGTCATGGGCCACCTGGCAGGTGACTTGGGAGCGAACATCCCCTGGGGCCAGCAGCACCCTGGCTGTGCTGGAGATGCTGTATGAAGGGCTGTCTCCCAACGGGTCCACGGTGGTCTGGGAGGCTGGCAGCTCATTCCCGTCCTTGTACCATTTCAGGAGGATGTTTCTCGGGGAGAAGCCGTGGGACTTGCAGGTGTAGCTCACTGTCTGTCCAGGCGGCGACCTGCCCGTGGGGCCCGATACCACAGGGGGAGAGGGTTTGGCTGTAAAAGGAACATCATGAACAATGAGCATGATTGTGACTCTACCACTAACTACAAGCATGTGGCACTGTCAAACCTTCTCATATAGTGTTTTTTTTCTTTGCTTTTGTCATTCACTATTTTTTATCTTGTATTCATGCTGGGAGAGCATGTCATAGTCCTCATCTTACAAAGGAGAAAACTCTTTTCTCCAAAGATGAACTCGGAGTGAGGGGCAGGGCCGACAAGCAATTCCAGGCCTTTGTTCAAAGTCCAACTTTTTCCCCTCCAGATGATTTCCCACAGTCTGCACCCAGGGACAGAGTTCCTGGTCAGTCTTATTTTTATGCCCTGGCTGTTCACAGCTGGCTTCCAATCCTTACAGTCAGGTGATGGGAGCCATGATTATTATCCTCATCAAGTGGAGAAACAGAGGACTTGGGGAGACAGAGACTTGCCATAGCACACAGCTGTGGGATTTACACTGCCGTGGCTCAGTGAGGATCTGTCCTTTCAACAGGCTCACCTAAGACATTCTATAAAGGCAGATTGGATTTTACCATCAATATTTGATTAATCAGTGGGTTTATTATGTTATTCTGCACAGTTTCTGCAGGTGAGGAGCTGAGGCCCAGCCAAATTAACTGGCCCATGACACTGACGTACCACCTTGGTTTGGGGCTGCACCTCTGTGCTGGGTGATTCAGACAGAGCTCCTCCAATCCTTTCCACTCTCCTAAAAGGGGTCCATGAATATTGCCATTTTAGAGATGAGAAAACTATCACTGAGAGAATGAAGGAACTGTTCCTTTGGCCACTACTGTGCCCCAGAGGTATTCCCTGTGGCCTCCCAGGTGTTCATGTCCACCAGCAGAGTAAGTGCCCACCTTCAGGAACCAGACCCTGAGTTCCACCTGCTGCAGGGAGGAGTGCCCTCCAGTGCCTAGGCTCAGGGGCGGGGGGACTGTGGCAATAAATGGGGGAAGGGGCTCCTGGCAGTGAGTCTAGAATATGAACTCCTGCTCACTGGGTGCAGGGCCCTCTAGGAAATGCCCCTCCTCTCCTTCAGGATGCTGCCCACGACGGTGCTGGGGCTCAGCGACCCCTCTCTGCTCCATCCAGGCCCCTGTGCCAGGCAGCTCCTGTGGCTGTTCCTGCAGCTGCTCAGTGAGGAAAACTCCATAAAGAAGGGAAAGGCAGAGCCATGTCCTGCAGGAATAGTTTCAGGCCATGTCATGGGACATTTGAAAATCTGTCTCATCTCAGTTGAAAAGCTAGACCTGCCTCCTCCACAGGACTTTTTAAAAAGTGTGTTTTTGTTAAAAACATAAAATACATGATTCTAAGAAATGGATAGGAGCCTGGCCAGTGTGCCTAAGTAGTTGAGCATCAACACATGAATCAGGAGATCACTGTGATTCAGGGTCAGTGTATTATCGATAATATATGCCTGGGATATGGGCTCCATCTCCAGTAGGGGGAGTGCAGGAGGCAACTGATCAATAATTCTCTCTCATCATGGATGTTTTTGTCTCAACCTCACCCCCTTCTCTGAAATCAATAAAAACATATTGTTTAAAAACCAACAAAACGGAACTTAAAAACAAACAAACAAACAAACAAACAAACAGGGTTGGAGTGTTCTCTACACTTTGACAAAGCACAGTGATGTGTTGCAGAGAGCAAGGCCCTGACCTCTCCCACCTCCTGCATTCTCAGCCATGCATCACCTGGGAAAGTAGCTCAGGGAAGGGGCAGGAGCTCTCTCCCATGAGGCAGCAGATCTGAGTGGCGTAGCCACTGACACCTGTGAGGCCTAGGCAATGGCACACTACTGGGAAGTGTGGTAATACCTAAAATTTGGGATAAAGCCACCTTTTCTGCCTGTGTCCAGAAACTGTGGGGAGACCCTGTTGCCACCATGTCTAGGATGGAAACTTGGTGATACCCCTCAAAATTAAAATACAAACACCTTGTGACCTAGCAATACCACTTCCTGTGGGTACCTTCCTCTAAAGTATGGACAGGGATATCCTGTATCACTATGTGAATAGCCCAAGGCTGGGAACAACTAACACCAATCAACAGAAGACAGTGAATGAAGGATGCTGTCTCCACAGGCTGGAGGGGAGGCAGCTTGTGAAGGAGGGGCAGCTCTCGGTGCTGATGTGGATGCTCGATTTGTGGGGATTTGGCTGGAGTTTTGGGAAAGTTCCCAATCACCTGGGCAAAGTCTGAGTGTGAGGGGAATGTGAAGGTTTGGGTACCAGTGAACGTAAGAGCTGCTGGCTCCCTGTTCAGTGGTGTGCTGGAATGAGCTTTATTCTGTGCTTGCATTCACCAGGCTTTGATGGGAAGAGCATCTGGCTTTGAAGTAGGAAGAAGCTGCTAAAATCAGATGGGGTTCTAGAGAAACCTCTCACTCACTGGCCATGTGACTTTGGACAGAGTCCCCTTCACTTTTTGACCTCAAGGTCCCCTTTGTACTTGGGGAGTCAGGCTGGAGGGTCTAAAGGTCCCTGCGTGCTCACAGTCCAAGATTAGGATCCTGGGCCTCTAGTAAAACACCCTCAATGAGGACGGTGTTGCCTCAATGGGGCGACCCCAAAGTCTCCCACATGGGGAGCCTCTTCCATGGATGAGGGACATTCTGAGACAACCCAACTCTGCTGGAACCTTAATGGGATTCTGGAATAAAGGGTGTCCCAGCAGACCCACGGTGATCGCCCCCTTCTGGGCATCTTCTCCCAGCGGGGCTGTCAGAGTGAACAGGAGTCTGGGCCTCTCAGGATTTCCTTCTCCTGGGATGTTTCTGAGGCTGAGAAAAAGCAGATCCTTCTCTACTCCCTCACCTAGTGAGTTCCTTCCACTGCAGAGAGAGAACAAAGCTTCAAGGGGAACAGCCGTTGCCTGCTTTGTTCTGCAGCTGCCTCAGCGCCCAGTGCAGAGCCTGGCTCACAGCGGGTGCCCAGTGGGTATCACTAAGGAGGAGCCTAGGCCACACTAAGGGGAGCACTCTGTGGAGGTGGGTGAGGTCTGGCCTTGTGATGGGCAAGTCACTCAGACCATCAGTTCCTCAGCTACCAAGGGGCTGACAGGATTGAAAGGCCCGGGCTGGGGAGCCAGACAAGTGGGGGTTCCAGACTTTTTCCACTACTGACCAGCCGCGGTGGCTGAGCAAATAGAATGACATCTCTAGGACTCAGCTTCCATGGTCTTCAGACCTGGGGGTGGAGGCCGGGGTGAGGGTGGTGGTGGTGGTGGTGGTGATGGTGATGGTGGTGGTGTGTGTGAAGTCAGACCAGGAATCAGACCATGTCTATAAGCACCCACCACCCCACCTGGCTCCTAGTTGCTGCTCAAAGATGGAAGTCGTTTTTACTGACTTGTCACACATGAGGCACAAAGGATCCCCCTGTACTCACCACTCACGCTGAGCTGAGTGCCTGCTCCAGACTTGAACTCCTTGTCATCACCGGTTCCTCTCCGGAACTTCACACAGTAGTAGGTCCCTGTGTCTGCTGGGGTGATGTTACTGAGGCGGATGGAAAAGTCCGTGTTGTTTCTCCTCGTGGTGTCTGCAGCACTTGTTACTCGGGGGAATTGGGCTCCTCTGAAATCATAGATTAACTCCCTGCCTGGTCCCATCCCTCTGAACCACATCATGGGCCCCACAGTCAGGGATGTCACGGTGCAGCTCAGAGTGGCCGTCTCTCCTGCTGCGACAGACACTGACTTCTGAGGCTGAATCACCTGCAGCTCCTCCTCACCTGCCCCTCCTGGAGGGAAGCACAGAGCAGTTATTTACTCAGCATATGGGAGCCTGTGGGCTTGGTCAGTATTTATCAACAACAGCTTTCATGGACCGAGGGCACACTCTGAGTGGGCCTTGAGTCCAACACATTGCATGTGTCATACATGTAACTGATAGATCCTCCCTTCCTCCAGTTAATGGACAGATGTAAACGCCACCTGCGGCCAGACATAAACCCCACCTGTGGCCAGACATTCCTGACCTCTGAACCACCAATCAGCACCTGCCAAATACCCTATGCCCCAGATTCCTAAGTCCCTAGGTCCCAAATAACCAATCAGTGCGTGCTTAGTGCCCTAAGCCCCATCCCCTATCCTTAAAGGTGTTTGTACCCCGGTGCTCACTCTGTTCTGCCCTTCTCTGTGGAAGCAGCTGGCAGGGTTACTCTTCCCTCCAATAAAGCCTGTGTGTGTCCTGTCATCCCGTTCTCCGGCTACCTTCTCTATTTAATCTATCAGTAACCCTCACAACTAACCTGTAATGTGAGAGCCTATAACAAATGAGGAAACTGAGGCACAAAGAGGTAACAGAGATTGGGTTTAATTTCCTCCCCACCCCCCATCAACCTCTTCTGCTTGGTGTCAATAATGGAGGGGCTGTGCTGGGCTTTTGCCTGCAACATATGGCTGCCCAGCTGAGCGGATTGGCTCCTGGAGGTACCATCCATCTAGCCTGAGGAGAGGAGAGCATCAGCCAGTTTGTCTCTGGCAGCCATGGCTGGTCGTCTGATGATGAGGAAGTTGGTATAGAGAAATAGAACATCCCTTGGAATAACATTCATTTGCAAAGTACTGCAAAAGGAAACCAGTGCTTGCAAAAGACTCACTGAATCCTTACCCAGATTCCTCTTTAACGTCTCTCGTTAAAGGGACTGGGTGGTACTTGCTACTGAACCTGAGCTACAAGTTGGAATTGAAGCAGGTCATGGCTCGGCTTCAGAATGCTTCCTGAGTAGGAATGAAAAGTTTCCAACAAAGAAAAGGAAGCAATCAGAAGCTTTAAGGACGAATGGACTCGGCTGCCTATGTTCTCTGGGCATCGGGCCCTGAAAGAAAGCTTCAGAGAAGCCACAGGTGCTGGACTAGGGAGTGGATCTCAGTGGCTTGAATGTGACATGTCCCCATTAAACCTGCAGATGGCCAGGTTTGTAAAGAAACATGCTTGTTTCTAGATGGAGAAGGAGGAACGAATGGGCATGTGAGGAGAGCCAAACAGATGAGCACCATCTGGGCAGGAGCTCCTAGGAGACCCACTGCATCCAGACATCAGGATGCTTCACCTCCAGATGACACTGCACCCCCAGAGGCAGGTCCTGTCCTTCTCCACAGATTTAGCATCACCTGCTGTTCCTGAGCTCTGATCATCCTTCATTTTGGGGCTGTTTTTCTTCATAGAAGAAGTTCTGATGGGAAATGCTAAAAAGTCATTATATGATACAAGTAAGAAACGGAAATGAAACTGTTTGTAATATTCTGTGCTCTCTAAAAAATAAATGCCTATTACTATTCAATTTTCAATTTCATTTCATAAAACAACTTGAAAAAGGAAAACACAACTTTTCCCAGTAAAAAAGCTATACTCATAGTTCAGGAAAGCTTAGTAGAATACATGCTTACATTTCCTCCTCCCTGGAATCACTCTGAAGTGACAGAGAAATGGAACAGCGTGGCGAAGTCTTAGCTAATACAGGCGTAGCTCACTTTGTTTCATTTTGCTTTATCGCACTTCACTTTATTTGCACTTCAGGTGTTGGGGGTTTTACAAATGGAAGGAAAGAAAACCCTCCACCAGAGAAGGAGGGGGTGAGGGAAGATGGGAGGGGAATGATTCACCAAGGAACCTGTTTGCATTGTGCAAAACCATGGACACAGGCAATAGAGTGGTGAGGGCCTGGGACGGGTGGGCACGGGTGAAAGGGGTTAATGGGGAAAAGCACACACACACACAAAGGGGACATCTGTAATACTTTCAACAATAAAGATAAAAATTTTAAAAGACCCTCCACCAGCAAAAAAAATTATGGCTCATTTTATCACAGAAGTGTGGAACTGAGCCCACAGTATCTCCGAGGCAGGCCTGTACATGCTTGCTGTAGAGACAAAGGGAAACTGAAAGGATGCCATAAGGAAACATTTAAGTTGTTGTCTTCCAGACACAACTACATCAGAGATACCTATTTCTCAAACATTTTCCTTGGAAAATGAATCCACTCTTTAATAAAATGGGAACATGCTATTCTGTAATTCTTTTCTCTAAGCTGTACATCTGGTGTTAATAAACAATCCTGTGGCATAACTTTCACTGGCTCTAAAGTGCTCTGCTGTGTGGCCGTTCAGTTGGAATATCAGTTAGGATGCTTAAGCCAGAGGTAAGTGTGCAAACAGCTGAGGTGAGTAATGGTCTCCCCCAGGCATTAAAGATCTCCCCCAGCACCCAGCTCAGAGGTGTCCTTAAAGACAGGGTCTGGCCTCAGCCTCATTTTTTATTTTGCTTCAGACCTGTCTCATGGTCAGGAGAGCTGCTGCTGTAACAGGAGAGCTGAAGCTGTCAGCTTCACATCTTCCCAAGATGCAGCTAAGAGTCATGACAGGCTGCTTCTCCTCTCACATCTCAGATTTGTCAGAGAGGAGTACATTTCCCGCAGTGGAAGAGCCTGCAGCCAGGGTGAACCCTTATGGCACCAAGCGAGAAAGGACCTTACTTTTTCTGCCTCTGATCTTCCCCGGTGCTTGGTCCATCCCCAACCCCTCCACCATTCCCACACTCCAAGGTCACAGATGGTCACAAGGAGACACACGTGTGCACACGCTCTCTGCTTCCTGGGACGGTCATGGGCACTGAGTGTGGTGATCTTGCACCGAGGCCCAGGAGTATTTCTGGTAGCATCTCAAGCTGCAGTTGGCTTCAGGGGACCCCATGTTTAGTAATTTACAGGGAAAAGGAGGAATTTTTCATAGAAATCCCGCTTGTTCTGTGTCCTTGCCAGGGAGGTGGCCTGTCATGCAGGGCTCTCTTGTCCTATCCGGGCCACACAGATCTTTCTGGATTCCCCCTACCCCTCTGTTTTTTCCTTAAAGATGGGAGGTCAGTAAATATCTTAGAGAGTCATATGTGAGTGGCTTAAAGGACAGACAAGAGAATTTTATAAGTATGCATTTCATCTTACAAATGTGAGGCGCCTTATTTGCAAGTCTATTGGATAATGTAGAGACTCGTGTATTTCTATCTGACTTGGATGCTTTCCAGGGAAGGCGAATATTGGTTAGTTTATAGGGTGACTCTGCCTTTTGACTTTGGTGAAATATGTAAACTCTCCTACTGGTCTTTCAAAGACTATCCTCCCTATTAGGTTCTTGGCTTCAAAGGCATTTTAAGAATTACTCCCCGGCCAAACCAGTTTGGCTCAGTGGATACAGCGTCAGCCTGCGACTGAAAGATCCTGGGTTCGATTCTGGTCAAGTGCATGTACCTTGGTTGCGGGCACTTCCCCAGTAGGGTTGTGAGCAAGAGGCAGCTGATTGATGTTTCTAACTCTCTATCCCTCTCTCTTCCTCTCTGTAAAATATCAATTACCAAAAAGGTAATTTATATATATATATATATATATATATATATATATATATATATATATATATATTACCTTTTTGGCATCACCTAAGACTCAAAGCATCATCTGTTTTGTTGCCTCTGGTGCATGTGATGGTCCCACAGAGAAACCACTCAGATTCCTGACTTCATGCGCTCAGATGAAGCCTGTCGTTGGTCTTCTGTGCAGCCCTGGGTGACACACCCATGTTTCCCTGGAGGCCCTGACCTTTCAGGGGGAAAAGAAGCCCAGGGGCTGGGAGAGAATATTCTACCCCAAGGAGTGCTCACCTGGGAGGCCCAGCAGGAGAGTCAGCAGCAGGCAGGGAGGAAGGCAGGGCCAGGAGGCAGGGAAGGGCATCCTGGAGGCTTGAGTGACTTGCTGTGTCCAAGTGTGTGCCCGGAGAACCCGGACTCTGCTCTGTGAGAGGAGTGAGGCCCCAGCTGTGTGATATAAGAGGAAGCGTCTGGGAAGGGGTGACTAGGCTGTGACACAGTAGCCAGTCTCTACATTCTAAACAGTTCCTGCTTGTATTATAGATTGTGAAATAGTCACAGTCAGGAAAACAACCGCAGGGTGAGCAGTTACTCATCTAAGTTTACAGAGGGACGTGGACATGCCCCCAGGTACTAGTACCCCCTGGCTCCACTGCCTGGAACCTCTGCTTTCTACTGGCCCTTCAGCCCATCTGAGGTTTTCATGGTGAGGCCCCACTTGGGGGCCCAGGACAAGAAGGGTGTGCGGTGTGGGCTGTGTGCCAAACTTCCCAGCCCAGGTCACTAGGATGTTGTTGACTTATGGCCTCATCTCCTTCAGCCTCAACAAGAGCTACTCATTGGAGGAAAGAAGAGGGCTCACCAGAGCCTGGTCAGTGTTGGGATGGAACCAGGTCCTTTCCTGAATGACTCTCTATTCTGACCAATTACTGATGGAACAGGAAATAATCTCCCCTAACACACAGTGTGGTGTGGATCTCAGAAGTGGTATGTGCCATCTTGCAACAAGGGATCCAGTTTCTTCACATCTTTCTGGGAAGAACATCTATTATACAGTATGACCACATTTATACACCCAGGGATTTATCTCAGAAAAATGCAACTTATATCTACACCAAAAGCTGTGAGGAAAATAAATCCTAAGCATCAGAAACCAGGAAGTACCACAGGAATACATAATGTGAGGTCTGTCAGCAAAATCTAAAATATCCCATTAGCAGAGCTGAAATTGGTGGCCTCCAGGAGGTGGAAAATAGTGGAGGTGAGGTTGACCCCAGTTTTCATACGTTGAATTTGTAGAACTATTTTCCTCTTCAAACACCTGTATATGTAACCCAGATAAAGGTAAGATCTAATTCTAGATAATTAATGTTGTCGTGTTGCAAATAAGAAGACTGTCCACACTGGTAGCAGTAGTAAATATTTCACAGGTCTGGTGGGTAGGAGTGATGATCATAGTCAATTACCAGGCTGCACAGTAGTCACAAACCCCTGGAAATAGTAATGGTAACTTTTAAAGATTTCATGAATGAGGAAGAGCTAAAGATAGCTCTAAGTAGAGATGCATAAACAATTATGGGGAAAAGCATGTAAGATTGTGAATTTAAAGTTAAAAAATTAGACCTACCAGAGGCATATCATGTCCATGAATGGGGAAACACAATATTAAAAAAAATATTTAATATATATAATATATATATATATTCATATATATATATATATATTCAATGCAATAATAATAATAAAAATTCCAGCCCTATTTGGCTTGACTCAGTGGATAGTGTGTCAGCAGGTACACTGAAGTGTACCAGGTTAGATTCCTGTCAAGGGCAAATGCCCAGTTGTGAGCTTCATCCTCAGTGGGGAGTGTGCAGAAGGCAGGTGATCAATGATCTCTCTCATCATTGATGTTTCTATCTCTCTATTCTTCTCCCTTCTTCTCTGAAGTCAATAAAGAAATATACTTAATAAAATAATCATAATTCCAATTTTTTTGTGTGAAACATGACAAAGTCATTCTATAATGCATTTGGACCCAGAATTGCCCTCTGTTTTGAACTACAAAAAGAGTAGGGAAGATTTGCCCCAAAGACTTATAAATATGGATTATAAAGCCGTCCGAACCAAGACAGGCTAATTCTGAGAGAAATAGGCGAGTAGCTGAAAGCAGCAGAGAGCTCATGCATAGCACCAGGTATTTATGGAAAGTTGACATGTCAAAGGTGGCAGTGCAATCACTGAGTGCTGGGTAATTTGTCCTTGTGGAAGAAAACGTCTTTACCACCTACAACACACACACACACACACACACACACACACACACACACACGCACGGGCAATATACCCAGATCAAAGGAGACATTGAAAGCAAAACTGGATCAAAAGTGGAAAACAGCTTGTGGTAGACCCAAAGCTTCCCGAGGAAACCAACACTGCTGATTGTGGACCACGCAGAGGAACAAAAGGGGCTCCTATGTGCCAAGGAAGTAAACGCTGTATAAGAATGTTTGTTGCAAGTTGCACTAGCTAAACAGTAGGTAGAGCCCTGGCCGGCTTGGCTCAGTGGATAGAGTGTTGGCCTGAAGACTGAAGTCTCTCAGGTTTGATTCTGGCATAGGACACATTCCTGGGTGGCGGGCTTGATCCCCAGTTGGGGGTGTGTGGGAGGCAGCCAATCAATGATTCCTCTCATTGATGCTTCTCTCTCTCTCTCTCTCTCTCTCTCTCTCTCTCTCTCTCTCTCTCTCTCTCTCTCTTTCTCTCTCTCTCTTTCTCTCTCTCTCTCTCTCTCTCTCTCTCTCTCTCTCTCTCTCTCTCTCTCTCTCTCTCTCCTCCTACATTCTTCTCGGAAATCAATAAAGAAATGAAAAAAACACAAACAGTATATAGAGCTTTAGCACCATCTTGAGAAGAATCTGTAAATCATAGCATATCTTACAATAGAAAAGTATAGAGCATGGAAATTAGAAAAATGGAGTTACATATGTCACCATTATTAAAACACACAGAACTGTTGTTAAGCATACAAATGAAGTTCCAGAATATTTTACACCAAAAAATAGCATTTCAATAAAATTTAAAAGAGGCAAAGTAATATTAAATAGTGCTTCAGGATTTACACATACATTGTAAAAATGTAAAACCATGATTTGAAATACTGAATTCCAATTTTTTTTCCCAGGAGGAACAGAGACATAATGGCAATATGTTAATGTTTTGCAAAGAGAGATGGTAGGTCCACGGATACCATTAATATTCTTTATAAATTTCAAAATAGAAAATGCTTATTCAACTTAGTGATTTCAAATATCTATGTGTTAAAATAAAAGTATACTAGCAGAAGCTCAGGGTAAAGGTGAAATCTTCTCCAAATAGTAAGGGTTGTTCAAGGAGGTGAAGCCTGGTTATCTTCTTGCTCCTAGTTCTGGTTTCGGTGGAGGAAGGGCCAGTGTGAAGCTCGATGCATCAAGGTCCAAACATCCCCGAGTCTCTGTGAGCAAAGACCATCCATCCCGGCCTCAATCTTAATATCAGAGAGAAGCAACATCAGGAGGGTGTGGGAAGGAGGTGGAGGTGGGTTTCACAGAGTGAAGGGCAGGGGCCTTGGATAATCTGCAGATCGGTGCAGCTTTTTTCTTACTAAGCTCATTAGAGAGGGCAGGAGGCAATATATTCCATGGCAGAGAAGAGCTGTAGGGAAAGTCATTCACTGATTCATGGAAGCAAAAGGACCATTCATTCATTCCTGTATTAATTCCACAAATATTTACTGAGCACATGCTAAGTGGCAGGCACTCTGTTTGGCCTGGCTTCATGGCACAGATAGAAAATGAAGCCCCTACTCACCAGACCCCAACACCTCCTTCTGAGATTTGAAGTCTCTTCCATTCCCACATTCATCTTCACCACTAGTCTCTCAGATGGGTTCTAGTAGCTGACTTGGGCAATACTTTCTTATTCTTTTTAAAGATATATCATATGAAAACTGAAATATATAACAGTTCCTGGGGGACTCTTTGCAATTTGATATTAAAACTTTGATATTCATCCCACCTTGGACCCCACCATCCTCAGGATCCCATATAATTTAATTGGAAAACCTTGAAACTCCAGGGCACCACACAGTGTGTAAGAGGTGGAAGCTTCTGAGAAAAAGGAGCATTTGGAACCTTCTCTTGAGGCTAAGTCAGGCGGTGGTGACCATGTGACCATGTGGGCACACCCTGAACTCTTCTTGCCAGCCCAGGAGGTTGGCCCTGATATTCTTCCCTCAAAACTTAGGGCTGCCTCCAACTCACCTGCTACAGGGTCCTCCACCTGTGGATGTAGGTGACTGTAAAACTCATCACAAGCAGCACCTTGAAGCCAAGGAGGAAAGTCACAAAGATAACAGCAGATGTCCCTGGACCTACACGGGCAGGAGACATCAACTGGGGCTCTGTGTCTTTAAATACCTTTGTCCTCTCAGGAGACAGAGGTAACCCAGCTTTTCCCAGGAGTGAATGGAGGTGACTGGGATGCACCCCCAATGAACTTGTAGATGGCTGGGGCTGCCTTGGACAGGAAGAGGTTGGCCAGATGGGAGGATGTGCTTCATGCTGCACGAAAAAGGTGAGCACCTGCTCAACCCCTGGAGGGACACATTCACCAACTGCAAGCTTTCCAGGCTCATGGCTCAGCTCCCTGAAACATGGCAGTGCTCCAGTCAGGTGGAAGCACACCCTATGATTAAAATCTCTGCACATGGCAGGTAATGGCCACCAAGTCCAAGGATGGAGAAGACTGAGGCACTGTCACTGCAGTTGGAACTGACACTCCCAGAGACAGCAGACAATCCCTGTGGGAAGTCCACTGTGGTATCCTGGGAACTCCTTGAGGATGCTTCATCTTCCCTGGGCCAATCACAGAGGAGGATTTAGATAGTGGTTAACAGATGCCTGCATAGGTAAATGCATGACGAATGAGAGTGTGAAGGCATGCATGGGTGGACAGATGGATGCATGGATGGAAGAATGAATGGGAACAAAGTCATTTATTTTCCAATTTTGAATTCTGTTCACAGACTATGCCATGGATCTAATTTGAGGACATTGTGCTAAATGACATAGGTTAGTCACAAAATGACAAATACTGTATGCTATGTATTTGAGGTATCAGAGGAGTCATCCTCAGGGAGACTTCCCCCAGAGAATCCAGAAGAGACACAGCCTGCCCATTCCAGTGTAGACTTCTGACCTCTAGAACTGTAAGGTAACAAACTTTTCTAGTGTTAAACCACTAAACATGTGGTTACAGTGGCGATAGGCATCTATAGTGCAAGGACAGGGGAACATTTATAAAGGACAGATGTAACTAAAGGGACAG